CCAGCAACGAGCCACGGGGCAGTGCTGGGAGGGGAGGTCTGTGCTCAGGGGGGCACTCGGGGGCTGTCCCCCCACACCCCCCTCCCCGAGGGGGTGGTCAGAGCGTGGGGGGGCAGCGCTGAGGGGTCGGTGAACGCGCCGGAGGCGTCTGTACGGCGGGAGGGAGTGGAAGGGGTCAAATGGGACTGGAATTTGGGGTAAATATGATGCCTGGGGGAAAAGGATCTTTCTGTGTGTAGGAGAAAGTGAAGGAGGCAACTAAGGGAAAGGAAGGTTTTGTGCAGTATATGTATTCATAGAATCAGTGAGGTTGGAAAAGACCTCCAAGGTCATCAACTCCATCCGTCAACCCACCACCACCAGGACCACTAAACCACAGCCCCAAGTGCCACCTCCACACGTTTTTGGAACCCCTCCAGGGATGGGGACTCCAGCACCTCCTTGGGCAGCCTGGGCCAAGGCCTCACCACTCTGGCAGGAAAGAAATTCTTCCTAGTATCCAACTGAACCCTCCCCAGGAACAACTACAGCCCATATCGAGGGGGAGTGCTGCATGTGCTAACACAAGGTCGGGGTGCAGGGGGAGCACACAGAGCTCCCTGTGGCAGTCTATAGGAGCCTGGGACAGATGCCTCATGGCAAGTGACAGCCCTGCAGTGTGTGTCTGTCAGGTATTGGGTGGCTCCAGCACTTGTGTGTGTGACAGAAGGTGCAGACCTGTGCAGCACCTGACTGTGGGTGACCATCCTGCACTCCTGTGTGGGAATAGTGGTGGATGCCCTGAGGAGTTGCAAGTGTAATGCAGAGGTGACTCCTCTACATGTGCCAGGAGCAGGAGGCAGAGCCACTTGGTACAGATGTGGTGAGTGTGTCCAGGAGAGCCAGGCTCCTCACAGCAACAGCTGACTCTGGGATTAGAGCCCAAGTGTGGGGAGGAGCAGCTGAGGGAGCTGGGGGTGCTGAGCCTGGAGCAAAGGAGGCTCAGGGGAGACCTTCTGGCTCTGCACAGCTCCTGACAGGAGCCTGGAGCCAGGGGGGGGTCGGGCTCTGCTCCCAAGGAACAAGGGACAGGATAAGAGGAAAGGGCCTCAAGTTGCCCAGAGGAGGTTTGAGTTGGCCCTGAGGAACAATTTCTTGCCCTGGAGGGTTGCCCAGGGCTGTGCCAGGCTGCCCAGGGCAGTGGTGGAGTCCCCACCCCTGGAGGGGTTTCCAAGCCGTGGAGATGTGGTGTGAGGGACACGGGGCAGTGGGGACCTGGCAGTGCTGGGGAACAGCTGGACCTGGTGATCTTAAAAGTCTCTTTCACCCCAAACCATTCTATGATTCTGTGTGTTTCTGAGCTGTGACCTGCTTGTGAGAAAGGTGACTGAAAAAGGACATGGCCTCATGGTGGAGAGAGAACCCTTGGTGTGGGCAAAAGAGCAAGCACAGGCAGTGTGGCAGCTGTGACAGGCGACATGCTGGTGTAGCTGCAGGGAATACCTGCACCTGTACACGGGTATATATGAGCATGTCAGGCAGCAGGCACCCTGAGCTACAGTTGTGGGACTGCATCTGGGACTGCAGGCACTACAGAACAACGTGAGCAGGGGGAGAGGACGTGTGTGTGTGTAGCAGCAAGCAGTGATGGACTCAGGTGCACAGCTGTGAGGGTGTACACAGCGTGTGGAGGGCAGACAACAAGGGATGCTGTGGGCTGTGTGTCACTGTGAGTGTGCCAACAGCAGCACGAGACAGCCGAGGGTGAAGAAGCCCCTGTGAGCGTGCAGGCAGGAATGAGGGAGATGCTGTGCAAGTGCTGACGAGTGTGCATGCAGTAGTGTCAACACCTGTCACCGTGTGTGTGCACCGCTGGTGGGCTCGTGTGTGGGGCAGGCGGGGAGGAAACCCTCAGACAGGGAGAGGTGAGCGTGCAAGTGCCTACGAGTGTGAGCACAAGCGTGTCAGTGCCTCAGGGTGTGCCAGCACAAGCGTGTCAGTGGTGCACGAGCACGTAAGCCAGCACACAAACCCCAGAAGTGAGTGGGCTGCTGAGCGTGGGAGTGAGTGTGTAAGTGCCTGACAGAGCAAGTGTGAGGAGATGTCAGTGCCCACGAGTGTGTGTGTGCCCATGGGTGTGGGCACAGGCAGCTCGGGTCGCTCTGGGGGTTGTATGTCTCCATCTGTGTCAGTGAGTGTGTAACTGCTCACTAATGTGCCTGCTGGGCTGGGCTCTGGGCGTGTGTGTGTGTGTGTGTGTCAGCCTGTGTGAGCCTGCCAGCATGCACTCGAGGGAGTGTGTCAGTCAGCTCAGGGAGGGGTATGTGTGTTAAGAGTGTGTGAGGGGCCGTGAGGCTGCATCAGTGCCAGGGGGTGTTGGTGAGAGGGTGTCAGTCGGTGCAGGAGTGTCAGTCAGTGTGAGGGTGTCAGTCAGTGTGAGGGTGCTGGTCAGTGTGAGGGTGTCAGTCAGTCAGTGTGAGGGTGCCAGTCGGTCGCTCAGTGTGGGATGTCAGTCAGTGTGCGGGTGTCAGTCAGTCAGAGTGCGGGTGTCAGTCAGTGTGGGGTGTCAGTCAGTCGGGGTGCGGGTGTCAGTCGGGGTGTGGGTGGCAGTCAGTCAGTGT